TCGAGGTGAGGCAAGGCTGACTCACAGGCAGAGCACACGGCGTCCTGCGTGTGCCATGTCTGGAACCAAGGGCTGATGCCGTGGCTCAGGGTCCCAGTCGGGGCCAGGCTGGCCTGGAGAGGGGATGCTCCTGGTGGGCATCGCGGCACGGGCCCTGGCCAGTCCTGTCGCATTTGCACCGCCTCTCGTCCTTCCTTACCTCAAAAACAAGGCGGCCTCGCTGCACGGAGACGTAGCATTACAGATGAGCAGGAACAAACGCCGCGGTTCCATCCTGGACTCGCTGGCCATGGGCGTGTCACCAGGCCTGGACCAGCATTGGCATGCCAGGAGACCTGAGTGACTGGGCGCTGAGCAGTGGCCCACGTGTGGCCTGCCGCCCCCAGGGTAGCAGTGCAGGCTCGCTGGGCCCTGAGTGCCAGGGTGGGTGGAGAGCAGAGATCTGCCTGGACACGGGGGATACGGGGTGCTGCCTGCAGCCCCAGGGAGACCTCACAGCCAGCAGGAAGGCTTTCCTCGTGGGTCGTGGTCTTCAAGGCCCCACATTGACGCTATGAATTGGAAGTTAGGCACACGAGCTTGCAGGTGCTGGTCTTGGGGTTTTGGCTGACACGGGTTCATGGACAGTGGAGGAAGCAGTAGCCCCGGCTCCTCCCAGCTCAGGCCTGTCCGGCCCGGTCCATGAGGGGGTTGTGGCCAGAGGAAAACCTGGGTGGGGGGAGCCAGCAAGGTCTGTACACGCCCAGAAGGCAGGCGGAGACCCTGCTTCTGTTCTGGCTGGATGCTGGTGTGCCCGTGTCCCCAGCTCCCCGAGTAGCCAGGGGTGAGGCCCAGGACAGGCAGCAGCACACAGGGCTCCACTCCGGAGGCACTTGGCGGTGGTTTGTCTGGCCAGCCCCCCAGGCGGGGCTGTGTGCTGGCCTCAGCGCCTCGCGCCGCGGGGTGGCCCGCTGGGAAGCAGGGGGGCCATCTGGGGCGGGTGCGCTCGGCCTCAGGCCCCTGGCCCTTACGTGCCCGTCCACCGCAGGAGTCGCTCACGCCCACTGAGGAGCACGTGCTGGTGGTGCGTCTGCTGCTGAAGCACCTGCACGCCTTCGCCGGCAGCCTGAGGCCCGAGCAGGCCTCGCCCCCCGCCCACTCCCACGCCCCCAGCCCCCTGGAGGAGTTCAAACGGTGGGTGCAGGCCTGGCAGGTGTGTCCCCCAGGGGACCTTTCCAGGGACAGAGGGAGGCCCCCAGCACCTCCTGGGCCCGCAGTCCCAGCCGCTCCCCCGGGTCTCCCTTTTCCTCCAGACCTGCCTCCTTCAGTGGAGTCAGGCTGGCCAGAGAGGCCCGTCCTGCTCTCCGCCCCTCCCGCTCCTCCTCTGTCGGGGCCCGGCAGTGCAGGGCCGTGCTGACCCAGCCACTGCATGCTGCCCCCAGGACATTGCCCGACCTCTCTGAACCTCGGCTTTTTGCTCTACAGAAAGGAGCTAAAATGGGTCCTATTTCCAGGGGTTGCCCCGCAGTCCCCAGCAGCAGAGTAACCCACATGGAGGCCCCTGGGTGAAGGAGGCCCCATGAGAGTGACAGCAGGCCCGCCCCGTCCCCACAGGGCCGTCGTGCCGAGGTTTGTCCAGCAGAAGCTCTACCTCTTCCTGCAGCACTGCTTCGGCCACTGGCCCCTGGACGCCTCCTTCAGAGCCGTGAGTGTCGCTCATCACGCCCTGGGGCAGATGCGGGAGGGTAGCAGCTGTCACCACAGACGCAGGACGGGGCCCTGGCAGGTCCCTCACCTCACCCCCTGGAAACACTCATGACCCTGGCTTCGGAAGGACCAGTATGAGGGTTAAACACTGTCGGGGTGCCTGTGTCTGTCCTGCAACTCCTGGGGGGACACAGGAGGAGCCGATCACACCAAAGCCAATCAGGTGCAGGCGGATCTTGGCAGAGCCCGAGCCCCACAGCAGAGGCCTGGGCCTTCCCCCCGAGCTGCCTCTGGGGAGCCAGGCCCAGGTGCCGAAGGGTCCCGCCCAGAGCCCGGCGTGTCCCTGCCAGGTCCTGGAGATGTGGCTGAGCTACCTGCAGCCGTGGAGGTACGCAGCCGAGAAGCAGGCCCAGAGCAGCGACGCCCAGCCCCGCAGCGTGTCAGAGAGGTGGTGAGTTCCCGCCCGCCTGGGGCCTGGGCTCTCCTGGAGCTCCCTTTGCTCTTTACCATCCTGGCTCTAGTGGGTGCTCTCAGTCACCCCACATCCCGCCCTTGTCATCACCAACTTGCCGTGGTGGCCTTGGCCCTGTCAAGGCATCTGTTGTCCTCGGGCTGAGTCCTCCGTCTCCTCCCCGCCTGCGCACAGCTCCCAGCCACCGTCTGACACCTTCATGAGATCTTGGCCTGAGGAACCGGAAGCCGGGATTTTGGGGGTGTGGGCCAGCAGGGCCCTGCCCCTAGCGGGAAAACTGGGGTCCTAAAGAGACTAGCCCCGACCTGCCCCTCGCTCCACAGGGCGCCCTTTGTCCAGGAGAACCTGCTGGTATACACCAAGCTGTTCGTGGGCTTCCTGAAGCGCGCCCTCCGCACGGACCTGGTCAGCCCAAAGAACGCACTCATGGTGTTCCGAGTGGCCAAGGTCTTTGCCCAGCCCAACCTGGCCGAAATGATCCAGAAAGGTGAGTCCTCTGCCGCGGTGTGGGTGAGTGGGGCTGAACCCCACCTTCCCCGAGGGCGGCCGATTGCCCAGAGCGGGGACAGCGGAGCCCGGCTGCACACCCTCCAGACCTGCTGTTCTCCCTGGTGACGGTTGGCGGTGGCAGGTGGCACTCCACTCGGTTCCTTTCATGCTTCTGTCTTAGCTTGGCCGGGGCCTTGGCTGCTGTGGCTTCCTGCTGGCATTCGCTTTCCTGCCGACCCCCCTGGGGCTTTGAGGTTGGGAGCTGGCCCTTAATCTGCCAGCCCCACCCCAGTTTCGGCCTTCTGCCCGCCAGACACCGCTGGGCAGGGCCTCTGGAGGCGCTCTGGGAGCAGCTGCAGCCCCGGGTACTCTGGGTCTGTGCGTGGGCATCGGAGCGACTCCCGTCTCTGCCCCCAGGCGAGCAGCTGCTCCTGGAGCCGGAGCTCGTCATCCCCCACCGCCAGCACAGACTCTTCGCTGCTCCTACCTTCAGCTGCAGCTTCCTGTCACCGTGGACGCCAGCTGTCACCGACGCCTCCTTCAAGGTGAAGAGCCACGTGTACAGCCTGGAGGGCCAGGACTGCAAGTACACCCCGATGTTTGGACCCGAGGTCCGGACCCTGGTGAGTGGGTCAGGCACTGCCCAGCCAAAGGGGTCCCTGAAGCTACGGGACCTGGCCTTTCAGGAAGGGAAGGGAAGGCCAGGGCCTCATGGGAAGGGCCAGGTTCAAGTCCCGTGGCCTCCCTGTTCCTGCTGGGCACACGCATCCTTGATCCTGGTGGGGGGGCACAGAGCGAAGACCCTGTTGGAACAAGAGAGGGGAAGGTGGGTGCTGACCCCACTACATTCCCACCGCACCCCCTTTCCTCTAGTGACGTCTCACTTTTCTGGTCACAAAGGCAGCATTTTGTGGGAGCAGCACGTTTGGAAGATCGCCCACTGGCCCATAAAGGCCCCCTGTGTGTGGGCGCCGTGGGCACTCGCTCCTGTACACACCCTCTCAGGAGTGGGGCTCCTGGGGGCCATCCTGGCAGGGCAGCACACACTGGGCCCGTTGGCGGCTGGGTGCCGAGGGCGACCCCTAAGCCAGCTGACGCATCTGCCTCCCCCGCAGGTCCTGCGCCTCGCTCAGCTCATCACGCAGGCCAAGCAGACCGCCAAGTCTATCTCCGACCAGTGCGTGGAGAGCCCGCCCGGCCGCTCCTTCCTGTCGTGGCTGGGCTTCTTCCCCGTGGACCCCAACGGCTCCTCCCCAGCCAATGACCTAGACGACCTGGGGCAGGACAGCATCCGGAAGACGGATGAGTACCTGGAGAAGGCCCTGGAGTACCTGCGCCAGATATTCCGGGTATGGGCAGCAGGGCTCGCCCACGGCCCACGCGGCCGCCTTCCCAAGGAGTCCCTGGGCCCACCTGTGGGCAGCCACATGCCAGCAGTCCTTGGCTGCACAGGGTCCTGCCCCAGGGACTGGGCTGTGGGAGACAGGCCAGAACAGGAGTGCCACGTCTGTGTCCCCTTGTTGACTCTTGGAGGCCCGTCCCCTTCCCCCTCAAGCCTGAAGCAGAGGTGAAGCAAAGGTAAAGCAGAGGTGAAGCAGAGGTGAAGCAGAGGTGGAGCAGAGGTGGAGCAGAGGTGAAGCAGAGGTGGAGCAGAAGTAAAGCAGAGGTAAAGCAGAGGTGGAGCAGATGTAAAGCAGAGGTGGAGCAGAGGTAGAGCAGAGGTGGAGCAGAGGTGAAGCAGACGTAGAGCAGAGGTAGAGCAGAGGTAGAGCAGAGGTGGAGCAGAGGTGGAGCAGAGGTAGAGCAGAGGTGGAGCAGAGGTGGAGCAGAGGTGAAGCAGAGGTGAAGCAGAGGTGTCCCCACAGCTCAGTGAGGCCCAGCTCACCCAGCTCTCGCTCGCCTCGGGGACCACTCAGGACGAGGACGGGAAGAGGCAGCTCCCAGACTGCATCGTGGGCGAGGACGGGCTGATCCTCACTCCCCTGGGCCGGCACCAGGTAAGGGGCCCTCCCTAGCGAGCCGTGACCCCGCGCCTCAGTCTGGCAGGCTGAGTGGCTCCCCTGGGCCGTTTGCCAAAGTGTGTTTTCTGGCTCCCCATGGCCTGAGAACAGATCATCAACGGGCTGCGGAGGTTCGAGATCGAGTACCAGGGGGACTCGGAGCTGCAGCCCATCCGGAGCTACGAGATCACCAGCCTGGTCCGCGTGCTCTTCCAGCTGTCGTCCGCCATCAACCGCAGGGTGAGTGGGAGGGAGGGCCTGCCTCGGTAACGGGAGTCCGGGTGGTGTAGTGTGGGGTGGCCGCGAGGCTGGTGCTCCGCCGTCTGCCCCCATGCAAGCCTCTGTCTTTCAGTTCGCAGGCCGGATGGTAGCCCTGTGCTCCCGCAACGACTTCCTGGGCAGCTTCTGTCGCTACCACCTTACCGAACCCGCACTGGCCGGCCGGCACCTGCTGAGCCCAGTGGGGCGGAGGCAGGCGGCCAGCCAGGCCCGGGGCCCCAGGCTTAGCCTGCGCTTCCTGGGCAGCTACCGCACGCTGCTCTCGCTCCTGCTGGCCTTTGTCATGGCCTCGCTGTTCCACGTCGGGCCCCTGCCCTGCGCCCTGCTCCTCGTCCTGGGCTACGTCCTCTACGCCGCGGCCATGACGCTGCTGACTGAGCGCGGGAAGCTGCACCAGTCCTGACCGGGCGGGGGCGGCTGCTGTCTCGCGTCTCCGGAGCAGATGGCGGGATTTGCACACAGCTCGTCCACGGGCCTGAGAGGCCCTGGGAGGCCACGTCCGAGCTGGATGGAGCACAGTCATCCTTGAGCCTCCAGGTGTTCTGCAGCTGCGGAAACCCTTTTCTAGAAGAAACTGACACAAGAAGAGGGAACGGGCCAAGGCTGGGCAAGGAAGGGGCCAGGGGCTTCGCGCCGACTCCCAGCCTGGGGCCCTGCTCGGCTGGCCCGCCCTCTGCCCCAGGCCCCATGGCTCAGCTACCTCCAGAGGTCTCTCCTCAGCAGTTGTTTCTGGACTGTGCCATGTAATCTTGGAGCCAGTGTGCCACAGCAGGCTCCAGGCCTGTCCTCAAGGTGAGCAGTGTCCCCTGCCCCAGGGGACGTCCGCTCAGCCTCTGATCCAGGGAAGAAGCAGTGTCCAAGATCCCTGAGAACTAGAGAAACCTCCGATTCCAGCCCGAGAGCCGAATCCACTGCCACCTTTAGCAAAGCGAGGGGCGTTCTCCAGGGGTCCAGCCGGCCCCTGGAGCTCCGCCTGAGGACTCGAAGACCTTGGGGTACAGGCGCCTGATAGGACAGCACTTCACCCCTGGCCCCCAAGCCATTGAGCACGTGTCCCAGAGTGGCCCGGCCCCATCACCCCTGCCGTGCCTTGTCACCAGGCGCTGGTCCCCAGAGAGCAGGGCCAGAGTCATCCAGCCGCCTGATCGACAGCCGAAGATGGCCAGTGTGTCATTTTCACCTGCAATAAAATCGGGTGCTCAGAGACGGTGACCTTTTGATAATGCTGGGGTCATCGTGTCCAAGTGCCCGTCCCCTGTCAGGGGGCCGCGGTCGGGCCCAGGCCTTCCTCCAGCCTGCGGATGGTGAAGTAGGGGGGCCTCCACGTTTGGTCTGTGTGGGCCACGTTTGGTCTGTGTGGGGGGCAGTGGAGGAAGGGTTAATGTTTCCCTAATTGTAAATGCTGGGTTTTACGTTTTGATATAAACTAAGAAAAATGGCATTTTGGGAACCCGTGACCAAAAATCAAACCAAACTTGTAACTGACCATGGATATGAATAAACCTGTTTTCATTTCCGAGTTTCCTAGGGACTCGGTGGCTCAGTCCAGTAAGTTCACCCGCACGAGGTCCCTGGTCACCCGGACACTGCAGAAACAGCTACTGGGTACCTCGTCCCCTGCCGCAGTCTCCACGAACCTGGGCTTTGTTCACTTCTTCATCCAGAGCATGGTAGATTAATTTGCAGCAACAAAAACCTAAGGCAGGGGCCAGCAGGTGGTGTGGTGGTTAAGGTGCTGGACTCCCACGTGGCCAACTATGGTTCAAGTCCCGGACCCGGTGGCTTGCTTTCCCTGTCTCTCTGGTCAAATTAAAAGGTAATAATAATGATAAAGTTAATTCCCTAAAAAGAAAAGAAAAAAAAAAAACTAAGGCAAATACTTGCACTGATTCTCCTCTGATGAGAAAAGTGGGCGTCCTGCAGGTGCTTCCACTGGACAGGCCGGAACTGGCCTAATATAAAAAGCCTAGGATGGGGACCAGCAGGTGGCGTGGTGGTTAAGGTGCTGGACACTCCCACTTGGCCGACCATGGTTCAAGTCTTGGACCTGGTGGCTTGCTCTCTCTCTCTCTCTGGTCAAATTAAAATGAATGAATGAATAAATAAATAATTTTAAAAAGCCTAGGATGTGCTGCTGCCCCTGTGGTCTCAGAGCCCCAGTGTCCTCTGTGCTTGGCCTCATGACAGATTCTAGGAACCCCCGAGCAGCTGTCAGCGTGGAAGTTCTCCCTTTCCTTGGTAAGCAAGCCTGTTGGTTTGGCCAATTACGTGGGGATAGGGGAGAAAACGGTGCCGTTTCCACAAATTCAACATAAAGTCCTGGGTCTCCTCTCACTAAATCCAGAGAAAGGATCTGAGTGCACCCAGAGATGACGGTCAGGTGCTGACTGGAGTGTCCCCCTCACTCTCCCCTCCCTAGCTTCAAATGCTCATCCCCACACCCCTCTGCTAACATCACTCACTCTAGGACCCCTTAAGAGCAGAACCAAAATGCTCCACCGACCCACACTCAGCAGTGTGTGGCCCATCCCACTGCCTGGGGCCGTGTGCAAAGCAAGCAAGGTCCAGAGTTGGGTGGACACAGCAGCATAAAAAGGGGCGTAAAAAAGATAGGCAGTGTGCTTGAAGTGCTGGACACTCCCACATGGCTGACCACGGTTCGAGTCCTGGACCTGGTGGCTTGCTTTCTCACTTTTCCTCTTTCTCTCTGTTTCTCTCTGGTCAAATTAAAATAAATTAATGAATACATAAAATTATTTTTTAAAAAAAGCGGAGGAGACAAAGATTGGAAAGATCGCATGAGGGGCAGGGCTCAGAAGTCAGGGACCTGCATGGTGATGGGGCAGGACACAGGACAGCGGGCACTGGGTACCAGCTGCTCTGGGGAAGGGTGACCTTCCTCCAACCTGGATTTGGTTATTTTTCTGAAGAGACGCCACCACAGGGTCCAGCAGCCCGCACACACAGGCAGGGGCTCAGGCGTGAGCTGAGGACTTCCCCACATGGGTCCGGTTGTGTTACCTCTGCGCCACAACCTGGTCCCAGCTTTAAATTTTGCAAAGTATTCTTGCTTAGTTTTTTTTTTTTTGAGAGATTTTCACTGTAGGGCGCGTGCACTCACCAGACAGAGAGAGACAGAGAGACAGCGAGAAATCACCCCCCAGGGGGGATGGTCACGCCGCAATCCCTTCTCCTCCATTCTCCTCTCGGGATCTTGGGCACGCACGCACACGCGCCCGGCGTGAGTTTTAAGCCACCCGGTCCAGGACATGAACCGCGGTTGACTACGTGGGAGTCCAGCGACATAGCCATGACGCTAACTGCTGGTTCCCTTCTTGCTTAGTTTTCAAAGGACAGAGGCAGCCAGCACAGTGCAGAGGTCAAGGCCAGGTGTGCAATTTGAGCTCCAGACCTGGGAGACACTCCTGGTGCGAATGCCGGATCCTGCATGACGAACAGCGAGGTTCGAATCCCAGACCTGGTGGCTTGGAAAACATGCCGGGTGCATATGTGTGCATGCCCGCCCCAAATCTCAGTAGAAGATGAGGAGAAGGGACTGCTGTGGCCGTTCCTCCATGGGGTGGCTTCTCACTTTCCCTCTGTGTCCAGCAAGTGCCCATGTCCTATAGCAAAAACAGAGCACAAGCAAAGACAGACATGACTCATGGAATGCCTTTGTTTTCTCCCTTACTTTGCTATCGGGCACGTGCTGGAGAGAGGGGGAAATTGAGGATGTCCATGCAACAATCCCTTCTCCTTTCTCCTTTTGTCACCCACTCCCAGGCTTGATGGGATCCACCGCCTTCACCCCCACGACCCCGGCTGATCCCTCAAAGCCTTTTATTTATTTTATTTTACTTTACTTTTTAAATTATTTAACTTTGATTTAGATCAGAGGGACTGAGTGAGAGAAAGAGAAAAAGCAATCTACCAGGTCCAGGACTCGAACTGTGGTTGGTCATGTGGGAGTCCCCAGGGCCCTTCACCACCACGCCCCCTACCAGCCCCACAAAACCTTTTTTTTTTTTTTCCTTTTAGAGAGGATTTTGCAATAGGGCTCTTGCACTTGCCAGAAGACAGAGACAGATAGAAAGCGAGAAATCACCCCCCAGGGGGGATGGCCACGTCGCAATCCCTCCTCCATTCTCCTCTCGGGATCTTGGGCACGCACGCACACGCGCCCGGCGTGAGTTTAAGCCACCGGGTCTGGGACACGACCCGCGTTTGACTACGTGGGAGTCCAGCGACATAGCCATTACGCTAACTGCTAGTTCCTTCCCCGCAAAGCCTTTAGAGGCTGGGCGTACTCCCTCCCGGAGCCGAATGTTGCCCAGGCCACGCCCCCGCCTCATGCCACACCCCTCGGGGTTCAGGCCACGCCCTCCGGCTCAGTCGCGCCCTGTTTCCATGGCGACGCGGCGCCCAGGCCAGGGCAGCCCCGCCACTGAGCGGGCGTGCAGCGGCGGGGGGGGGGGGGGCCGCGCGGGCGCGG